CTTTTTGTCTCCAGGGACCAGGGAAAGCATGGATGCTGAGTGCTTATTAGCTCAGATCTTCTGTGGGGTGAACAACTTTCAAGCTGTAAGCCTCTCTCCAGCTCATACTCTCCATACTACTTAGGAGGAGTGCCGTGAAGCATCAGAAGCCCAGAGAAGTTGCCCCAGTAACTGCTTCTTTGTTTCCTAGTAACATACCACAGCTCTGGGACCACGACACCTATCTAGAGGTGTGGGACTAGAAAAATGATTTCAAACAGCGGGGTAGAGAAGCAGTGCAGGAAAAGCAACACTTTTGTGTTTCAGAAAATCTAGGGATTCCCCACTTTTTTTTTTTTTTTTTTAACAAAAAAGATTCTGCTACTAGAAAAATAAGTTTGAAAGCATTAAGTTTGAAAGCACCAGACTGAGTCTCTTGCTCACAGCCTCCTTTCCATTCTTTCCTGGGTTGCAGGCCCATGTTGGCTCCCTGGGTCACACCAGCAGACGGGGCTTGCATGGGAATAAAGATTGTTTGTGAATGCTTTTATTCATCCTGTGTGCCAGGCCCTGTGCCAAGTGCTAAGGATTCAACATCAGGCATGATCGCTACCTTCAGACAACTATAACTTGCATTTAGTGAGAGAGATATAACCATTAGTCAAATTATCGTATAAATTCATGTAGAACTGTACCTGTGATAAATGCAGTGAAGATGATATAAATAGTAACATGAGAGCACATAGCAGAGACCTGACCTGGACTGGGGGTCAGGGAAAGCACCTCAAGGGACTGATGTTCTTGGGATTAAATTATCTGGGTCAGGCTGCTTGAGGAGTGATCTCTTGTTATCTCAATAGCCCATGGGGAAATGGCTGGCAAACTCAGTGTTTTTCTAATGAAGCACAAAAGTGCCAAGAACTGGGCACAGAAAGTTACCTTTCAGTGACAGATTTAAGAAAACATTCAGCTGTATCAAGGATGTTAGTGCACTTTGCATATTATATTTTTCTGAACCACTTCTGAGCTGAGAAATAAAATATATTAGGGTCCTTCCTGCTTCTTTAAGGAATTCATGAGAAAGCTTTAAGGATGAGACTTGAAGTGGACGAAAAAAAAAAAGGTTAAAGAAAAGCAGAAAATAAGTTGCCACAGAAAGAGTTGTGATATGAAAAACACACTTCTGGAGGACAAGTTCAAGAATTAATTTTAGGAAAAACTAATAAAAATGAAGGCAAAAAAACAATCTTTATAGCCTTGGCAGTGAGGTAAAAATATAATGATCTAACAAGCTGAAGACAATGCAATTTTGCTTACAGCATGAAGACTCAGAGAACTATAAGGTTCCTAGGCCTCAGTTTCTGTAACTGAAAATAAAGATGCTGGATTAGATCAGTGACTCTCCATCCTTAGTGTGATCAGAATCACCTGGAAGGCTTGTTCAAACACAGATTGTTAGACCTCACCCTGAGATTTAGAAGGTCTGGGATGGGGCTTGAAAATCTAGATCTCTAACAAGTTCCCAGGTGATGCTCATGCTATTGGTTCAGGGATCACACCGAGAACCACTGGATCAGACACTCCATGGCCCCTACAGGCCTGACATGTCTCTGATTTTATGTCTGTGAATTCCAGAAAATACTGTACTACGATTAGTATGAAAAGTTTTAAGAGAAGCATAGTCTACGCCACATATGTCCTTATAGCTGCAAATCTGTATCAGTGCTGTGTGCCTCACATAATTGCTTCTCAGTCTCCATGACTTACCTTTTATAATGCTTAGCATAGCACAATGCCAGAAGATTCATTAACTCAACAGAGGCTTTAAATGACTGATAAACTTTCAAGGGTTCAAAATCTGGAAGAGCTGATCTAAAATTAGAGTACTTCAATAGCTATAGTGCTAAGTAATTTTTTTTTCCAGCTCTAAAAAGGCTGAGAATCTAAAACTTATATCCTTAATGAAAAACAAGGGACAGAGCCCCCAAAACAGAAGAAGAAAAGAAACAGAGACCTATGTGGGAAAAACATAGAAAAATATACTCTCATATATATATAAAGAAGTTCATACATGGGAATACAGTTAGGTGGAATGGCAGTGAGGATCTTTAGGGATAGTGACTCCGAGAACTTTTAAATACCCCTATTTCACTCCCATTTCACAGGGGCCGACAAAGGTTGAGAGGGACATAAATAGGACCAGAAGTGGTATCTGATGTCAAGGTCAGTTTGGTGCTCTGCATACAGCAGTTCATAAACTCACACCTAGTCCTTTGGGAAAACTGGAGGAGTTCTCCTGGTCACTTTTATATGTGCTAAAGACAAGTCAGAATTCTCACTAAAAAAAAAAAAAAAAAAGTGAAAGCACATAAGGAGTGAATTTCATGGTCACAACAGTCTCGGTGACTCCTTTGGGACCTGAGTGGGCAAGTGCCTAAGGGCAGGTCTAGCTGACATGGGCTCTCCCAGCCTCACCAACTCCTGGGATCATATACCATAAAGGACTCTCATTCACACCCTCCTCTTCCTGACAATACAGATGTGGAGGGAAGGCTGATGGCCCTGCCTCACCAAGGGCTGGGACACATGAACCCAGAAGCCTCTGGTCATCCCTCTCCATACTAAAAAGCCCAAAGTCCAGCGTCTCCCCATACCAGGAGCCTGAAAACAGCAAGCTTGTGGCCCAAAGGGCCCTGGAATTTCTTTTTTTCTTTCTTCACAGCCTGGAAATGGTTTTTGTGAGGACTCTAAAATTCAAGAGGGCTGAAACTTTGCCTCTGAACATACCTGGCTTCACCAACCTCCATTTAGGCCACAAGAGATGCCAAAAAGTCAGTGACCACAGTAGCTGGATTCCCCTCGAATCAGCCCTCTGTTAAAGTGTTGGCTTAGGTCTACTTCTAAACTCAATCTAGGAGCCATTACCTGTCTTCTTGAGAATCTGGAGTCAGTAAAAAGCTCCAATGTCACATATCCTCAGAGAGAGCTCTCTAGAAAAGACAAACCGCCTATAACTTTTGGCTAAAACGTGTCCCAAATCAACAACCAAACAGACTCATGTTCTTGCTCACTTCAATGAACATTTATCTTCTCAAACTCATTGGGCAGGAGGTCACAGACGCCTTCCTATCCTCAGAACAAAGAAGAAACAAAGAGCAGAGCCATGGACCCTCCACCATGGTAGTGGCCAGGAGAAGTGGTGGTTAGCCTCATGGTATACCAGCTTCTGGACCCAGAGACATCTGCATCAGAGACATACTTGGTTCCTATGAACTTACATAAAAGAACTATTCTGTCAATTATAGGCTACCTGAATTGTTACTTACATTTTTTTTCCTCATTTATCTTGTAATGTTTATTATTTCTAGGCTCTTCAATAGGACTGTGAAATATGAAGGCTGGGAGAGCTCCAATCCAACACTATGCTGAATGCCTTGAATGCCATTGGGACAATGCCTGGCACACAGGCATTAAAAAAAATTTTTGGATGAATGTTTACTCGTTTGTTTTCCTACTGAATTAGAACCTGGTTTAAATAAGAAAAAGAGAATTTTTCTGCCATTGACAGAAAAAGAAGCCTAACAGGAACCGCAGGAAAACAGCTCAGCAAGCTACGCCCAGCCAAAAGGCAGGCGGTTGCTGAGCCAACTGCTTCCCAAGGGAACAGAGATGTGAGCAGGCTGTCCTGTGGATCCTGTCAGGAAAGCCCAGTGCTGCCAGAGAGCCTTCCTGCCCTCTGGCATACAAGATCGCAAAGTCTGGCAGGAAGGGTGTGTGCTCAAACTAGTCAAGGCCTGACAAAACACGGGAAGTGGCAGCCTTCTACACACCCTGCTCTCTTTTCTGTGCTGATGCATGACACAGAAATGGAAGAACAAATGTATCAATCACAGAGGCAAACATTTTACTTGCCTGAAATATAATAATCTCTAGCCACTGTGACAGGCCAACTCTTAAGACATTTGCTTAATTTTTGTTTGGGGATTTACTTATGGGAGGTGGGGAAGGTTGCGTCTTCCCCAGTCACTGGAGCATTTCCTCCCACAGCTGTAAGGCTCCCCAACATGCTCTCCCCCAGGACTACCCCAGGAGTGAGTGCTGTCCCAGAGTAGTAGGACCTGCAGACTCAAGCCCAAGAAGGACCACCCGGAGGGGACATAACCTGCCCTTGCTATGGCCTGACCATCCATACCTAGAGCCTTCACAGATATTTGCCGGGTGAGTGGAGGGGGAATATTGATGCACACCAGATCCACATCTTGATGCAGCAGGACGTCATCGGTCCGGCTGGTGTAGAAGTTGATGTTCATCTCCTCCGCAAGTTGTTTCGCCTCCTCCTCAGTCTTCCCCCAAAGGGCCTCCACTGTGAACCCTTCTGCCCTCAGCAGTGGGACCAGAACCCGGGCGGAGCTGCCAGTCCCAAACACGCCCACTCCTGGGAGCATCTTCATGCTGGCTTCTCTGTTCACCAACTCATCTCCTCACAAGAGCCTCCAGCATGAATACGACCATCTCACAGTCCTGGTCAAACATGGCTCCTGGAACAGCAAGCAGTACACTGGCTATTAGTGAAGGGCACACTCAGTTGAGGCTACTCTCTGGCTTATTTGGAAACAACAAGTCTCAGCCACAAAAGCACAAATGAAATAAATACTGCTCTGAAATGAAAAGCTGCAGAAGCTTGTCCCATGGAGACCTAAGGATATTATTAGCATATCCTTAAGGATAGTTTTCCTCCTCTCTTGGAAGGAGGAAAAATGAAAAATGAGTAAAGCTGGGTTCACATCCCTGTTATGTTAATTTTCTGTGTGACTCTGGTCAACCCATTCAACCTTCAGGGCCTTAATTGTAAAAGTTCACAATTCCATGATATATAACAGAAAGAAAAAGAAGAGTGGGAAACAAAAACCAGTAAAAGATGAAAGAGAACTACCTAGGTACTATGCAGATTATAATTTAAAAGTTTATGATAGTAAGCATAGGAAAGTGTTCACTAGAAAACAACAAATTACCAAAAAAAATTTTCAACTACAAATTGGCAACAACAAAAAACAGCAGTGATGTTTAAAATGATATATATATATATTTTTTGTACGAAGATAATCATGCCAACATTGACTATGGTAGTCAAAAACTGGGAAACAATCTAGGTGTTCAATAAAAGTAATGGGTTTGATAAATAACACTACAGAGCCACTGAAAATCATGAGGTAGAAGGCCTTCGATGACCTGAAAGACATCACCATATATTAATTAAAAAGCGAAGACAAAACAATGTGAAGTATGACATCAATTTTTTTTTTAAATAAAGCATAAAAGATATATATTTATGAGAATATACAAAGATATCTATATCTACAGACATTCCACACATAACAGTAGAAGGGACTAGAATACACCTGAATTTCATGATTACTTGGGGTAAAGGGATTATGGATGATTTTTTTTTTAACTCTGTCAAATTTTCTACAATGAATATGGCTTATTTTTCCTTCTGCTAACAAGAGTTATAAAATGAAATAAAGAAAAAAGCTAAACAAAAGTCTGCTTGGAAACCAAGATAAGATTTAAGTGTGCTCAAGGTATTAGGTTTCCCTATACGGCACCCTCCTCCCAGCTAAACCAGTGGTTCCCACTCTGGCTGTGTAGTAGGGTCATTGGTAACCCCAGACCTCGCTGAATCAACCTGTGCAGATGAGCCTATGTCGCCATTATTTGTGTGTGTGTGTGTGTGTGTGTGTATGGTAAAATACACATAAAACTTACCATCTTAACCCAGAAGTGGAATTGCTGGATCATATAGTAATTGTTTTTAATTTTTTGAGGAACGGCCATACTGTTTTCCATAGGGGCTGTACCATTTTAAATAATAATTTTGTCAATACTTTACAGTCCCTTAGTTTACCAATTATCTTTTAAAAATCTGACTACTTCTGATCTTGGTCATTGCAAATCTAATTTTTAAAAAGTCTTATCCAAACATATGATTTTGCTGTTCTACTTTATCCACATAATACTGCTTCATTTGCATCACAGATCAGAGTCAATCTATTTGTCAGTTTAATGGAAACATGGCATTCATTTTATAAATGCATCATAATTAACTATTTCATTGCCCAACTGTGAGCACTAGGGATATACATACCTCTTTTCTCCCCATCTATGACAGTCTCCCACCTTTCTGGTCATTTCTGAGTGCCATGCCACTTTTGGGCTCCCCTGTTCCTGCCCCCAGCACCTTCTTGCTGAAGTTCTTGAGGTTGGTCAGAGGCATCCTCTTTTCTTCTTGCTCCATGTGCTCTCTTTACTACTCCTGTCCAAGGCTTTAATTAGTATACCAGTGACTTCCAAATCTGTGGCACAAGCCCAGCTTTCTCTCCAGAGCTTCATACCAATATACTCTACTCCTGAATATATACTGATGTTCCACAAGCTCCACAAAACCCACATGACCAAATCTGAACAGAAGCTGTAAAGTGAGACGGCGAGAGCACACGAAGTGAAGCCATCAGAGATATCTGGGTTCAAATCTTGGCTTGACCGCTGAGCTAAATATATAAACTTTTTCATGAATAGAACAGGTCTATTGCTATATAGCTCCCAGGGTCTTTTGACAATTAAATGAGGTCTAGTTTTAAGTTCTTAGCAAAGCATCTGGTATATAGCCAGCATTTAATAAATATCATAAACCTTCCTACCAACATTTTCTTCCTATATTTTGTCTCATGGAATGTCTCCATCATCAACTCCGTTCCTCAACCCAGAAAGCATCCCCAACTTCTCTATTACCATATCTGTCCAGGTAAACTCAATGTCAAGTCTTGTTGATCCTACCTCTTTATTCTCTTAAATCCACCCTTTCTTTGTCATCCCTTCTGCCACTGTGCTAGTCTAGCCCCCAGCACTACTCACCTGGATGACTGCAACAACCTTCTACTTGTTCTCTCTGGCTTCCATCATTTCCTGCTTTCATCCATTCCTCATATTGCAAAGAGATCTTTCTAAAATGCAAATGGGATCACATCACTCCCTTCCTTTTCAAGTCCTTCAGAAACTTCTCATTGGACTCAGTATGAAGCCCAGATTCTTTGTATGACTTCAAAGCTCTGCATGATCCAGAAATCTTGACAGGTATACCTTTGTGCAGAGTCGCTTCTGAGGGTTATCTCCAAGAGAGATGAGTTTCAAAACACATACTTAGATAACCCAATAAGAAGGCTGCTCTGTGAAATTACTAGCTATAAACCAGTTAAGAGTTGGGAGGACAATTATTCAAAACGACAACAATGGCTTCAGAATAACTGATGATTACTGTGTTATTATTTTCTTTCTGGGAGAATTAAATACGTAGTGAACAGCTGTTTATTGAGACCTTTTTAGATCATATTAACGCCATATCTCACAAAAAACTGTACATGAATGTCCACAGCAGAATTATTCATAATAGCCAAAAAGTGGAAACCACCCAAATGTCAATCAACTACTGAATAGATAAACAAAATGTGGTATATCCATACAATGTAGTATTATTCAGCTACATAGAGTAATGGAAAAACTGATAAAAGCTACAACATGGATGAACCATGAAAATATTATGCTAAGTGAAAGCCAGTCACAGAAGGCCATATATTGTATGATTCATTTACATAAAATGTTCCTAACAACAACAACAACAACAACAACAAGTTCAGAATAGGCAAATCCATGGAGACAGTAAATTAGTGTCAGGGGATAGGAGAAAGGAGAAATTAGGAGGTACAGAGGTCCAAGTTTATTTTTCTCCGTGTGGATACTCACTTGTTCCAGCACCATTTGTCGAAGAAACTATTCTTTCTCCCAGAATGACCTTGAAATCTTTGTTGAAAATCAATTTACCATAAGTATATGAGTTTATTTATAGACTCTCAACTTTATTCCATCGATCTATATGTCTGTCCTTATGCCAGTATCACTCTGCCATGATTACTTTAGCTTTAAATTAAGTTCTGAAATCAGTAAGTGTGACTCTTCCAACTTCATTCTTTTTCAGTATTGTTTTGGCTATTCTGGGTTCCTTGTATCTTTCTATAAATTTTAGAATCAGTTTGTCAATCTGGGATTTTGATACAGATTGCTTTGAGTCTGTAGATCGGTTTGGGGAACATGTTATCTTAACAATATTAAGTTTTCTGATCCATGTACACAGGACATCTTTCCATTTACTTAGGTTTTTGATTTCTTTCAACTAAGTAGCTTTCAGAGTATAAGTTACACACATTTTTGTATTCAAAGTATTTTATTTTCTTTGATGCTATTTTAAATGGAAAATTTGTTCTTAATTTCATTTTCAGATCCAACATCTCTTTTGCTTCTAATGTAGATACAAGTGTACTATGCAAAGTACATGTCTATGTTAAGGGTTGGTTTGCCAGTATAGCCCAGTACAGCATTTTCTACTGCTAGATCCTACGTGAAGGACACCTGTGCCTTTCTGAGCCACTGAAATAAGCATGACTTGGGCTGCCTCTAACTCCAGACCCCTGTCAGCTTCCTGCCTCCTTCAGTCTTTACTCTCTGGGGCTGTGGAGCTTGGCTTGCCCCCTGCACTCTACCAATGGGTTTTATCATAACCGTCTTTCTTTCTAATGATGATGAATAATGTCTGTGGCCTCTCATCCACCCCCTCTTTCCTCTTTGCTGATAATTCTCTTGCCCTTAAGGGTTCTCTTCTAATTAGAAAACAGATCAGTCACATAGTATCTTAAAAAATTTTCAAGTCCTGGACTCCTTTCAGCTATTTTGGTTATTTTCTGCATTTACAGGTTCTTTTTGGTTACTTACAAGTCATGGATATCCTGGCGGCCTAAGAGTGTCAAATTTGTTATGCTAGATAAGTAAGATTCTGCTTAAATTTTGTGGGTCATTAATTACCAAGAGCTACAAGGACCAGGGGAGTGAGACAGCCACCATAAGCAAGGATGTCCATGTCCTCCTATATTCATGCCCAGAGAGCACTTCCTCCTCTCTAGTACCTCATTCCTTGCATGCTCTAGTTATATTTGGGTGTATATTTGCATCGCGAGTGGCTTAAAACAAAAAAATGGGTTAGAAGAAATTTTAATAACCTCTTTTTTACTGACATTGACTCAAAGGGCAGTTTCATTAACACCCACAAAGGGGCATCAGCTAGCCTCTGAGGATGCCAGATGGCATGAAGCTAGGCACGCTTGATGACTGGGTATTTCCTGCTCAAGCAGGCAGGGCTGGTTTTCCTCATTTATTTCAGTGACTGCCCTTTCTCACCTCTAACTTTTCTCTACTGCTTGCCTCTAATATTCTTGTACACACCTTTCACGTGTCTCCCAAGATCTCCATAAACCCAGGCCTAGTTCATATGACTTCCAATCAATACATGGTGGTCAAGATGAAGGGTGGAAAGTGCCTTGACAGGACTGGCTATACACACTTTTACAAGGCTACAGGTTATGGGAAAGGTAGCATAGAGGTTAGAGGCATAGAATCTACAGCCGACCTTGCCTGGGCTCAAATCCTGGCTGTACCATTTCCCAGCCAGATAACATCAGGTAAGTTTCTTAATCATTCTGTCTCTGTTTCCTCCTCTGTAAAATAGGGATAATTGCATCTACCTCACAGGGCAGTTAAAAACTAAATGAGTAATATTTGTAAAGCATTTATAATGGGGCCTGGGCCATAGTAAATCACTACACAGATTTTTTTTTTTAAGATATTTATGACTTACATCTCTCACCTTCAAAACCTGTAAAGAATATGAAGATATTATTCTGAGCTAATGTGCAGTGGGTGCAATAGGCCAGGCAGTGTTTATTGTAATATATAGCACAACTCTTTTAAGTCCATGCAACCCCATCTTCCAGATGAGAAAACAGAAGCTGAGAGAGGCTAGGTAACTTTCTTGGGTTCTAGAGTTCACTGTGTGGATGAAAAGGCGGGGGTCCTATGGAAAATAACCTCACAGGGTGATCTGATCATAAATTTCTAACTAAGCAGAGTCATGGTAGGGAGTCAAGCCCCAGGCACATAACTTTTTTTTTTTGCAAAAAGTTTATCTTTACCTTGTCTATTGTTTCTGTGCATCTGCTTCAACACACCTGTGCATCTTTTTCAAAGCAACCACCTTCATGTAACCTTCCTTACCCTCTCTCCTTAATTCCAAAGGCATAAAAGAAGCTTTAAACTGCCATTCTCCAAAACCTTTCTTGAGTCTGTTGAGAATTTGCTTTCAGGTGTATCTTCTGTTTGAGTCAAATAATTTTTCTAAAAATTCTCTACAGGTTTGGACATTTTTACCTTGACAGCTATGTGTGACAGATCTGTCACAACCAGCTGTGAAACTTTGGGCAGGTTACTTATCTTCTCTGAAACTCTGTGAAAACAGAGGCTCGTATATGTGGAACAACTCTTCTTTCATTCTTAGTGATGAGTGTGAGACTGAAAAGTTCACTTTGCTGTCTGGCTTGGCAACTGCTTGCCTCTCAGCTCCACTACTCAAACCTATATTAATATGTTCATATATCATGGCTTTATTGAGGGCCTAACAGGTAGGCTTTGGTAGATGAAAAGAAGAAAAGACAGAGTCATAATCTGAGGAGCAACAAGCTCATCTAAGATTTCGGACTTTGCCAGGTGGGTGTGCTTTCTACTCTTGGTCTGCCCCACCTTTCCCATCTAATCCCCTCTCTGCCCTGCTCTGTCTCTCAGGAGTCGGAAGGCCAATCTCTAAAGATTACATCACATGGGCTCCAGGGCCTCTGGCTACCTTTTGGATCCAGCCCATGGGAAGTATTAGGAAGAGATCAAAGAGCAAGAAGAAAGGTCAAGGTATTTATTCTCCGTCTCTCTCCCTACCAGGATGTGGTTCTGACAGGGGATGAGTTCCTTAACCAAGGTTACAGCACTCCTCTCTCATAGCCACAGCTCTTGCTGGACCCAATAACTCATCACCACTCCCATCGCACCTGGGGTGATAACACCACCAGCTGTAGCCAGTCCTTACCATTCCTTGTAGGTTTCCCACAAAGCCCACATTATTGTAATAATCCCTTCATTAAAGGTCTTTCAATTAATCCTTTCAGTGTGCTGGCTGTTTCCTGCCCAGACTCTGACTACTAGAATCAGATTTTTTTTTTTTTAATTTGATGTAGGTGGAATAGAGTTTAAGAAACACCAGAGAACCACTTAGGATATAAAGTAAGAGGGTCGTTGGAGGGAATGAAATGGAGCAGACAGCTATTAGTAGGTCTTGGGATTATGAGGGGAGAGGGAAGAGCCAAAAATGACACTGAACATAGACCAGCATCCTTCATGAACACAGGCACAAAATCCTCTAACAAAATATTAGCAAACTAAATCCAGCAATGTGTTAAAAATGCAATACATCATAACCAAGAAGGTTAAAGCCCAGGAATGAAAGGCCGGTTCAACATTATCAAATCAATTACTATAATTCACCATATCAACAGTCATTAAATTAGTTATTAGATTGAATTAACTAGAGATACAAATTAAAACTTATTTATTACAACTACACACCTATTAGAATGTCTGAAATTCAGAAATTTAGAAAACTAGTTATCAAATACTGGCAAGGATATAAAGCAACTGTTCATGGTTACTGAAAATGAAAAATGGTACAGCCACTTTGGAAAAATTTGTCATCCTTAAATATACACTTATTATACAACCTAGCAATCCCAATTCTAGGTATTTGCCAAGAGAAATGAAAAGTTACATTCCCACAAAAACCTCTATGTGAATGTCTCTAATGTCTAATGTTGGCTTTATTCGTAATTACCAAAACTTGGAAGCAACACAAATGTCCTTCAACTGATGAATGAATAAACAAACTAGAGAATATAAATGCAATGGAATACTATTCTGCAATAAAAAGAACAAACTATTGATGCACACAATGACACAGATGATGCTCAAATGCACATGCTAACGGAAAGATGCCAAACTTAAAAGGCTCCATACTGTGTAA